ACAGATTCTCTGGCATCCAAATCTCTTTCTTCCACCATCTCTGAGGCCTATCCATGCATCTGTACCCTACAGAAAGCATCTGAAGTGATTCTTTCTTATAATTTGTGCCTATGCTACAGGTTTGCTGTCAACTCTTCCTCCTCCAACCCCACCTCCCACATCTTGGCTCTGAAAGCTTCTGCCAGCAGCTCTTGGTGGAGAGGGATTCTCCTCTCCAGCAACTTCAAATTTCAGCCAGGCTTTGCCAGCCAGCATGAGTTAATTAGGCAGCTTTATGCTCTTCTGCTTGTCTACATGCTCTTCAAGAAAATTAGTTAGTATAAGTACTGACACAGTAAACATCCATAGCCTCTGTTTTGTGCTGCCATGCCTCACCTGCAGTACTGCTCCAGATCCTCACTGCTTTCCCACTTAATTGATTTCTTCTTCTTAATCAGCCCAAGGTTCATTTTTGGGCAACCCATATCCTATTGTTATTTTTGGGATTATGTGCCAAGTGGTGCAGAAGGGCCAGGTACTGGACAAAACTCATTTCCCAGAATCTCACATTGCCTAGAAAATATCTGGGTGCTATGGAACCACTGTTATCTTGTTGCAGTGATTCCTCATCATTTTCCCACCAATCTCTCTGAATTTAAAATATATATATATTTTTTTTAATAAGTGAAATCTTTTTGTGTGCATGTGTGTGAAGTCATTGAGATTTCTCACTGGCAAATCAACCTTTGAGCTCAAAAGCAGTATCTCACAGCTAGGTATCAACTTGTGAGCTATGGCAGGCTCTGTACAGAGTGGCACCTGACAAGGAAGGGCTAGTAACCTCATATGTGAATTCCATAGTGTAGATCCACACAGATTTACTACCTTGGATTTGGAAATAGTATACAGGCTTTTGCATAAGTCAGTGTCCAGTTAGTGAAGGCTACTGTGCCCTAGATGTCCATAAGCAGCAGGAAAATCCACCCTGTCTCTTTTCAATATCAAGCAAGAACAGTAACGAGACCAAATCATTCATCCTTTCATCTCTTCAGAGAATTTCAGTGTTGAATAGGAAAAGGTCTGTCTATAATGATGTCCTGAAAAAGAAATACCATTGAAACCACTTACTCAGAGTAAGCTTTTAAATGATTTTAAGCCTTATTGCAAATTGCCCTAAAGACATCTTAGTATGACATAGCATAACTGCGTTGTCTATGACATTTATTTTACTTCCTGCAGCATGACAGCTTGCCTTAGTATCTGCAGTGTGACTCGAGAATGGAACAAAGCGCAAGCAAATGTTAATGTGCCATATGCAAACAACAGTTAAATTCGCTGTTGGCAGCAGAATTCAGAGCATTATTCGGGAAAATTCCAGCCATGACCCTTATCAAAAATGTCAGCCTGCAGTGAAGAACTTGCATCTATATGAAAATAAATAATTCTGCAGGCTTTTTAAAATTAGCTTTTACTGGGACATGTGTTTTCCTGTTTTTGTTCTGTTTCAGTTTTGTTTTGCTTACAGCCACTTATATGACATTGAAACATATCAGATTTATTAACAAAGTACTGAATTGTATATTTTATACTGCGACCAAGATGGATTTCATCCACTGCAATGATTACAGAGCAAGAAATTAATTTCACTTTTAATTTCAGAATTTCTCATAACATATGAGACAAATTCTCTCAAAGACTAACCCTGGTAGGGTAGAATCTTTGCTTATACAAATGGACTTTTAAGTAGAAGTGAATCTATTCACCAATTTTTTAAAAGTGAGACTTTTTGGAAGGAGTGAGTGAGTGAGAGGAGAGCAGGGAATAGTGGGGGCGGATTGCACCAAGAGGGGTGGGCTTAGCCACAGTCCATGTAATCATTCTATGTAGGAATTGTTCTATAAGAAAAATCAGATGAATTAACACACTGATTGGCAAGTCTGATTTCTGATGAAAGTTCATTTCCAGGAGAAAATCTGTTGGAACTGCAAAATAAGTCTTGAAATAGAAGATCTGTTATTGTAATATAGCCATCAAAATATACAGTCCCTAATTTTTTCTAATAAGACTGAAGCAATTCATTCCAATAACCTGAAGTAACATCATCATCCACCGTGTTCAACGTACTGAATGCTGAACTAAGACAGCAGATTCCTGGGGAAACTGTGGATGAGGATAAGCAGCTGTAGCACTCTTTTCTCATCAAGAAGCAATAGAGAGGTCCCCCAAGTAGCTCAGCTCTGTCTGTTCTCTGGCAGTGAGAGGATATTGCCACACCCCTAATGTGTAGTTCTACTGGGTGTAACCATTATAATACACCAAAATGGTCAAACACTAATCTGATGACATCAGAACAAAAGCTTGCAGTCTTGTTGAAACAGAGGGTAAACATTAATGCTAGGATCCAAGGCATCAGCATAGAGCTGCATCAGAAGAAGTTCAGACTAGATTTTAGGAAAAGGTCCTTCACTTAGAAGGCGGTCAGGCTGCCTTGGGCACTATCATGGCACCAGGCCTGCTGGCACTTGGACAACGCTCTCAGACATATGGTTGAATTTTTAGGTAGTTCTGTGCAGAGCCAAGAGTTGGACTCAATGATTCTTGTGGGTCTCTTCCAGCCCTAGATTGGTTCTAGGATTCTGAGATTTTTCGCATTGGCTTTTTGTGCTGCTGTATCATTTATAGCTTTTTGATGATGCAATATTGTCAGCGCTACCTATATGTGTGTGTGTGTGTGCCTGTGTGTTTGTGTGGCCAGAAAACTCTTTCTTCAAAGGTTTTTCAATTAGCAATAACAGCATATAATTACCTCTCTTTCTAATGTTTTTTTCCTATCCAAAATAAAATGCAGGCAGCACATTTAGTTCCATAAATATTCATTACCGGTATCTGTATAATGTTTATTCCTAACTGACTGTGCTGGGGAGAGAGATATTTACTTACGTGTTCTGTATTCTTCAGTGCTGTGGCGCTATAAACTAGTCTTTAAAATGTGGAAAGTTTTCTATAGTTCAGGTGGATTTTGTTCATATTGATGGAAGTCTAATCTCATTTTATTTTTTTTGCTATACTGGTTTTACTACAGTGATTTTTGTGTGAGGACAAAGATGGTATATCAGTGTTCAGTATTATCATTCTAGGTAAAAGCATAACATCCTAGCAAATACAGCCCTTGATCTTTAACTCTATGGCTGATGAATTTGTTTTCATGAACCAGATCAGCACAGCTGAACACCAGATGACCTGAATTTATTGATTAGAGAACCTCAGAGAAAAGAGATCCTCACAGCTTGCCGAATTTAAAATCCTAAAGATTACCATCAAATAATTTTAACTTTGCCTTTTTATCACAGAAAGAGGGCAGGTCTAAACTCTGTAGAGAAGTACGCACGAGAACAGCAGCAGGGTTCAGGCACGACTTCCAGTACTTGAACTGATTCTGCTGCCTTCCCACTGACAGCAAGACAATGACAGCACTTGCTAGGCTTGTATAAGTCCCAAAAAATAAATCCTCAGGTCACTGCAAGTGAAATTCTTTCATTCTCTGAAGAAAAAAAAATACTGAAATAATTAACACATGACTTGAGGATTGATACTGCAAGAAAAGCTTTGGGACATTCAGTCACTGAAAATCATCCATAAAATATGGCTTCTTCAGTACATATCTGTAGATCTCATTCTGTCTGAGATTGAGGAGATGATCGCCTGTATATACTGAGGCTGACATAAATGGAAGGGCCTTAAAAAATGAGGAAGAAGGTTCACATCTAGCTATCTCATTACCACACTTGGTCTGAATATACACAAAGTAAATCTAGTTCAAGTGAAGGTGATAAAAGAGCATCAAAAAACTCTTACTTCCTGCAGAAAGAAGCTGGTAACAGTGGTTAGAGTTTTAGTCAAATGTGCAGTCTACCCAGACAGTTAAACACAAAATATTGTAGCTCATTCACATAGACTTTGATTTAAAATCAGAGAGAATTACTTTATGTGGGAGCTGATCCCTGCTTTACTCCTTTTCCTATTCACAGGTGTGTCACTTCATGCACTGCTCAGATTTGCCTTGCTTGAAACTTGCTTGGGAGTATTGTGCTACTAATTTCTCATGGATTTCACTTGACATTTATCTGCAACCACTGCAATCCCTCTTTGCTCATCATAGCAGGCAACTCCATTTGCTCTGCATGTAGCACCCACCATACATCCAGACACAGTCACTCTGACAGCAAAACTCTGCCTGATCTCTCCTGAGAAGAGCTACACATCACAGCTTTCAGGCCACCTAGCAAGGGCTTGAACAAACTTTAGATATACTAGACTTTAAAGCAAGAATTGGAGGGAGTGTCAGTGAAATGGATGAAGTGTGATTTCCTCCAGTTTCTTTCACACTGTAGGCATCGGGCCAAGACCTGTTCTAGCCTTGCAGCATATTAAAAATAAGTAGTTCAACTGTTGCTTATGATGATCTCAAGGTGTTTATATACGTTGTTCTTGATGTGCCCCAAAACACTGTGAGTGCTGCAGCATAATCTGTGCTTTTAAGATTTATTTCAAAAGTCTGCAATGTATCAGCTTTTTATTGCTCCAGTCAAATAGGAACAAATAGCTGAAGCTTGCAGGAGTTCTCTGTTGTCTTTTACCCAATCAATATCCATCAGATGTCACCACATACAATCTAGTAAAAAAGCATCACATAGCACAACTCTCTTGTATGACTGTAAATCCCAAGTTTATTAAAATAGGTGAAGAATAAAAACCAATTATTGAATTCACAACTCATATCTGGCTGCAATTAATTTTACATCTCATGATATCTCATGACATATTGTTTTTACTAAGTGATCTGAGACCCCTGCACATGAGAAACATGCCTGCTCTGTGGTGCCTCAGTCTTTAGGAAGACTGTTCAAGCAATCCTTTGGACAGTGTGCAAGCAAAGTGTTTGGAGAGTCATCTTCCATTATGAAAAGAGGGAAACTGTCTCCTGTTCAGAGAGTCACATTCTCCCCATATATCTTTCACAGAGCTCACCTTGAACCATGTGGGAGCTGAAGGCACAGAAGGCTGTTCCTGTCACCTCAAATAGGGACATCAAGGGATGTACCTTAATACCAACCTTCGGCTCATCAGATGTATGCACAGACTTGGAGATGAGTGACTTGGATCCTGTTCTCACAGGATGTATTTGTCTTTTGTACAGACCTTGTGCTTCTAGTAAGTGCTTTTGTTTGCTTATTTTTAACACTGCCATTGATTTTTCAGATTCCATTGAACTTCACACTGAACTCTCTCTGCACACGATTCTATCTTCAGTTTCTTCCTACAGGATGTATAAATTGGTGCCTTGATCAGGGAGCAATCTAGCAATATGGTACCTGGTCTTTGTGATTAAGGATGGAAGAAGATCTCTGAAAGGCTTACTTTTGAGACAAAAATAATCAGGAAGATAACCTTATAGTTAACGAAGGTGGGGAAATGATGAATAAAACTAGTGAAAGCAAGGGAAATCTATTTCCATGGACAGCTGCATCTTTGCACCTCTTCTCATGAGACACTTCTATACACATATTTTTGTGACTGTGAGGAAAAAGTGGTGGTTCAAGGATTTCTTCTCAGATAGGAGGATTTGTTATTTTATGACAAATGAGCAGAGAAATAAAATTCTCTGCTTCTCACTTGGTTAACTGAAGAAAACATCTTTGAAAAGTCTATTTTTGGATGTGACCAAATCCTCCCTAAAACTATGAATCAGTCAGAATCAATCTTTTTTCTTGAATTGCAATTAATACTTTCTGTATTTAAAGAAAATGTATTTAAAATTATTTCACCATCTCAGGAAAAAAAAAAAAAAAATCTGAGGTTTTGGGGATCACAGAATCAGAGAACTGTGGGGGTTGGAAGGGTCTTCTAGAAATCATCTAGTCCAAACTCTTGCCAAAGTAGGTTCTCTGCAGCAAGTTACTGTAGAGGAAAGCACCTAGATGGATCTTGAATATCTCCAGAGAAGGAGACTCCACCACCTCTCTGGGCAGCCTGTTCCAGTGCTGTGTCACTCTGACAGTAACAGAGTTCTTCCATGTACTAGTATGTGACTTCCTGTGTTCCAGTTTCTGCCTGTTGCCTCCTGTTCTGTTGTCACTCACCACCAAAAGGAGTCCACCTCCAACACCTTCACTCCAGCACTTTAGATATTTATAAATATTTATGTGATCCCCTCTCAGCCTTCTCTTCTCTAGACTGAAGAATCCCAGGTCTCTCAGCCTTTCCACATAAGGGAGATGCTCCTTGTCCTTAATAATCTTTATGGCCCTCTGCTGGACTCATTCTACTAGATTCCTGTCTTTCGTGAGCTGAGGAGCCTAGAACTGGACATGGTATTCCAGACGAAGCATCACGAGGGCAGAGCAAAGGGTCACCTTTCTCAACCTGCTGGCCACACTCTTTCTTACACCCCAGGATATCACTGGCCTTGTTTCTCACAAGGGCACACTGTTGGCTCATGGTCACCCTGTTGTCTACCGGGACACACAACTCTTCCTCTGCAGAGCTTCTCTCCAGCAGGTCAGGTCTTCTACACTTCTACCTGCAGTGACAACACAAAGCTAGAAAATGATGTCCAAGCCCATTCTCAATAACATTTGAAAAGGAAAGGTCTCTAGTAGCTGTAAGAAGATAAAACATGGAAAAGCTGATTCAGCTAGCAGAGAACCAGTCTGTCACTATTTCCAAGCCGATTTCTATCTAATAACAAGATGCTTTCTAAAGAGAAATTCTACCAAATTTAATAATATTGTATATATTTATATATACAATATATATAAGTGTATATATTTAATATACACTTCAACGCAAAGCTAAAAATTGTCTGCTTATGGAATTTCTTCAATTTCCCTTTTAGCATGCCCTGTTCCTTTATTCGTTCATTACGTAATTTTGTCAGACTGCATGTTTTCATTTTCATTCTTCAAAGGAGAAAGACTGTCATCCTCGTCAACCAGAAGATCGTTGGATCTGCTACGTCCTGCCTCATTAAAATATGCCTAGTCAGTTACATCCAGTCTAGAACCTTTATCTTCACTGTTTTCTCAGTTTCCCATAAGCATTTTTAAACACCTCAAATTATCTTATATTTAATAATAAGAAATCTACCTTATGGAGATAATCCAGCAAAAGGATCCTAAATGTAATTTGGGCTTCTTGCTCCATCCACAAATCTTGAAGCATTCGGTTTCTTCCCCAGGTCAGCTCCCTCAGTTCCTCCAGCAGGTGAACAACTTGTTCCATTCATTTTCTGTTGTGTGCTTGGTGTCACGGAGTTGACCAGATCAATCTATGTCCGTGACAGGGGCGACAGGCCTCTGCCCTCCCCCCCCCCCCCCCCCAGTCCCACAAAAAATGGGAAGGAAGGAAGGGAGGAAAAGAGCAGCGGCAACAATCTATGGAGGAAAACTTATTTTACTATAATATTGGAATACAAGATAACACAATATATATACAATTTAATTGAAATTGAGATTAATAAATCAGACAAGATGAGAGAGAGAGAGTTCCCAGGACCGATTCAAACCTGAAAAGCTTGGAACGGCCAGGAAAGCACCCTCCAGCACCCACTGCCAGGCAGCAAGAGCGCCCCCCCCACCCGGAAGGGCCAGATCCCATGACTGCTGTAATGTACAGGGATAGGTAGCTGGGATTGGGGCAGTGACACTTTAATGCCCCGTACACTACATGATGTTTTGATGTGGAATACTGAAACCCAAAAATAAAAAAAACAAAAACATAGAACCATGACAGCTTGGAAATCAAAAGGAATGGTTTTCTGTAAGGAAGCTTGTTGTGTATGCATTAATCATAGCAGTTTGTGGGGAAATCTCCTCTGAGGCCATACATGGAAAGAGAAAGAAAGCATCTATTTCAGGATGTAAGCCCTTAGGGACAAAATGCAAACACAAGTCAAGGCAAACATTAGCCTTGCTGGTGAGTGTGGGCAGAGGAGGATCCTGCTGTAAAACACCCCAGCAGTGGGACATGAAGGAATCTGTGTAGGGCAAAATTTTTCAGAATATTTCATCACGTAAAGATGCAATCAGAGGTCAGTGGGATTATAAAAAAGAATGGAACAACTTGGGTGCTTCATATCTGCTTACTGGAACTCCCTATCTCGTGCTTGTTGTGCTTCAGTGCTTGCAAATTGGGCTAATCACCTAAGCATTAGCCACCCAGAAATATCCAGAGTGAAGTGCAAAAGAACTGGTCTCATAAACTTTCCCTCAGTGCAAAGCCCAGGTAACTGGGGAAACTGCAGCTGCTGCTGCAAGGCAGCCATCTCCATCAGGTTCCTCTTCTGAGCCCATTGCCACAGACTTTATGTGTCGTGGCATGAGGAGATGCTTGAGAATATTTCAAGAGGTACTATCAGTCACTGCAAGGAGTGAGGGAGGGCACAGCAGCAGAAACAAATGTGGTTCTAGAGCAGATCTCAGTGACCCATAAGCCAGATATTGCTGCTAAATTAAAATCTCAGTATGCCTCTCTATGCTCAAGAGATCTTGGTTTTCCACTTCACATGCACTGAACACAGTGTATCTAAGTGATGATGGCCTCGTCTGCCCCTAATTTTTACATTCATTCCTTCATATTGCTGTTATGTCATTGTCGCTCACCTTTATTTTAACCTCTGGCTTCCACTCATGCTGTTTTGATAGCACCATGAAACAACCAGAAGACTCTAAGCTCAGAGTGATGAAGTAAGTAGTAATAACAATAGGGGCTGGTAAAATGATGCCTCATGATATGTTCTCTGAGAGCAGGAAGAGATAAATCAATCTGCCATCATCAAAACTGACAACTACTCTCACCCACAAACTCCTGACTACCAAGAGAGATGTCTGCACTCTGCCCTGTGGAGTCTCCAGTCCATCCCTCCACAATCCTGCAGCCACAGAAACCTGGGATTTACTAGGATTTTGAAATAACTTCAATTCATCACAGCTGCAGCCTGGAACTCAAAGCAAATCAGAAAATGTTCCAGGAATTAATTTTTAAGAGAATCTCATCTCGCTCTTCTTTTTTTTTCCTTTTTTTTAAGAGATTTGTTTGAAGGTGCCCTTGTAATTGTACATGGTCACATACAACCACTGTTTCAAAATTGCAGTGGTTTTGTATAGCCATTAATCAATAAAACACATATTAATTAAGTGCTTCATTGTGCTCTCGCATGATTTATTAGGCCTTCCTTCATTAAAGAGTTTGATCAGAAAAGTAATTAAAGAGTGAACTGTGGCATCAACGCATACTTTGCATCAATTATTAGAAGCATGTATCTTAGAACAAAAACGTGGTAATGAATGCTTGAGCGGCCATGGGTTACACTTGATGTCAAATGATCTGAACTGTTAATACCAATAATCCTTGGCTTTCCCACAGATGAACAAACTGGATATGAAAGCAGTGAAGGCAAGCATGCCAAGTTTGTTTCCAGAGCTGCTACTTTAAATAACAGCAAATTAGGAGTGAGTTCCGAGATCTGAAGTACTGCACATGTGTATTCTATACATTTGTACAAGTTATTAGAGAAATATCAGGCCTTTTGTTAGCTTCATCATCAATCATTGAGAATACTCTTAACATCTGAATTTGATGTGTTGAACATGGAAAATGTTAGTAATGTCTCTATGGATAAAGAAGATTTAGATTCCCTATGTAGAATTTTAATCTAATAATTTTTAAGTACTTTCCTTATTTGTTCTTCAAAATGCATAGTTCCTGTGCCACTGTGGTTCGTTTTCCTGTGTTTCATTAAGCCTGCTTTATGCCAGTTGAATCCTTAGTTCCTTAGCAGACAACAGCGCTGCATACCTGGGTGAATCTCACTCCACACATATTCCACTGCAAGATACTGAGGATTATGAGAGCTGCTCTGAAGGTAATGCCTCCTGTTTTATGATGCTGGCCCACAGTGTCAGAGGTGGATGTTGAGGATATGGCAGTAGAGGCTGAATGTTCCCACCAGTATCTCATTACATCTTGGTGCCCTGTGACAGCAGAGGAGCAGTCTGACACAATGGCATCTGACATGGAAGTGCAGATGAAGGAAAGGTGTGTCATTAAATTCCTCCATGAGGAAAAAATGGCATCCAGTAATGTTCATTGATGCTTGCTGAATATTGATGGAGTCCAAACGGTGGATGAGGGAACAGTGAGGCAGTGAGTGGTACATTTCAGCAGTGGCAGCAGTGACAGAGGTTCACTTCCCCTGCTGTAGATTTTTATGAGCAGGCCATGCAGGCTCTTGTTCATCACTGGCAAAAATGTATAGGTCATGGTGGTGACAGTGTTGAAAAATCATGCTTTGTAGCTGAGAATTTGCTCTATCAAATGGTGTTGTTGGTTGGTGCAGGGTCAAATAAATTATGTTTGGCTTTGGAAGCTATTCTGGGTTTCTGGTTTTAGTTCTAGTCTAATAGGTCTTCTGATAATGCTCACTTTTGTTTGCTAGGCTTTGTTTTCATCCTTTGTGTTCTCATTATGAGAAATGGCAGAGGGAAAAATGGTTTTCTTGGAACAAACTTTCTTGAGTCTTGGCAATATTGGTTAGAATGAATGCTGGCACTTCCATTTGAGAAACAAAAGTGTACGTTAATCTTCATTCCATCGTGGTAAAGAGAATGGGTTCAATACAGGTTCAAGTATACAGCACTACTCAGAAACATCTGCCTTTTGCCTTCATTGATTCATGATGAGTGCAGGGAGGAACAATGATTTGAAAAGTAGGAGATCTGATGTTAGTCATGTTTTGCAGTACAAATGCTTAAGGATGATTCAGTGTGTGAAAAAATGCTTCTCTTGCAGATTATCAATCCTTTCAAAAAACAACAAAAAAACACAACAACAGCAAAGAAAAATGAGAATTTTTTTTCTTTCTGTAGCACACTGGGATGTGGGAACTAAAGGAAAGACATAAGCAATCCATCTCAGGCTTCTCAGCATGGAATTTCATAACAGTTGCCCAGTATAGAAGGAAGAAGAGCTCTCTGAAGGCTGAAATATCAATGTTTAGCACATGGATTAAATCTACAGAATTTTCTTTCTCCTACCAATAACTGTGCCATAAAAAATCAGACTTTTTTGTTATTTTTAAATGAGCCCCTGAGACTTCTGTGCATGACAGAATGCTGACTGTCTTGGTGAACAAACTATTTTGTAGTAGAGGGAAAAAAGAGTACAGACATTTGCCCTGCCATCCTGATGCAATCTGAGGACCAGACTGCTACATGAATAACTCTGAAAAGCAGGGAGACTACTGTAGTTTTGAGCTGCCTGCCTTCAGAGACAAAGAAATGCCTGATAGATGTGCATTTACAGTACGATGACAGCTCCTTCACTTCTTGCTGAAGGAAGGGTATGGGAGATCCTTGCGACCCATAGATCGTCGGCTGTGCAGTTAATTGGGCATCCTAGAGAGACTGCACATGTTTTAAAGAGAGAGCCTTAGATGAGGTGATTTATAGATTTGGAGTTATCAGTGGCAGTGTACAGTAGTTTAAAACCTCTCCAGCAAATTCCATGTGGAAAAAATGAACTTATCATGCAGTTATCTGAGAGCTATTGATCAACAGCTTCTGTTCTTTCTTTTTAATAGCTCTCTCTCCAACTACTCTTGATAATAAATGGCTCTTAAAACTCCGCTTTCCTCTGTTTCACCAGCCGAACAGCTTCAGCTGCATTAATTAGAAAAATGCAATTAGAAATGCAAGCCACATTCCACTTGTGTTTTTCTATCAGTGAGTTGGATACTTTTCTTTGAGACGACAGGGAGAGAAGTAACCTAGTGGTTTTGAGTGCTCAGCCCTTGTATGGTCAGCTTGGGTACTGACAAAGATGAAAAAATCTAGGTCAAAACACCACTGAGTCAAAATAACTTTGTGAGGAAAATGCTTTCATGGACATAAGCTTCTGGAATGAAGCTATTCTGGGGAAACTATAATGGCACAAGCAATCTCCTACCGTCTGATCTGAGTGGGATTTTCTCTCTAGGTGACTACATTTTTCCTATAATGTCATTCTCCTTCCCATCTATAGCTTGAGATTTTGTTGCCAAATCCTGAAAAGAGCATTAAATTTTCAGCATTAGGAATTTCCTTTGAATGGAAAATGCTTTTCTTATGAATGAACATGCCTTGGACTGCAGTGAAGGCAAAACAGACATTGCAGTAAAGCCGTAAATGCTCGAATCTAATCTAAAGCAGACTCCAACTTAGCCTCTAAGCTAAGGCACTATGTAAACGAGCTATAGGACATAACAAGCAGGTCTGAGAGCTGTGTAGTGAGTGCTTGATATAGCTAAGCTGGCACATGATAAAACAAAGCATTCAGTTTCCAGTGCCCACTTGGGAAAAGCATCTGCAATTGGACTTTCACAAAGCGTTTGAGATAACAGGAGGCAACTTTTTGAAGTATGACGCCAATGGTGTTCAAACAGCATGAGAGCCTGAAAGCTCAGCCCAAGGTTGGGAGCTGATAACGCAGAACAAGGGGGTTAGTGTCTCAGCAAGTCATGGGGAAGGTGAAACAAGCGAAAGTGCTGTGGGTCAGGTAGAAGTGTGTCTGCTTACTTATCAGAGTTAATTCTTCATAGCAGCTTGCTGTTTCAGTCTGTATTGCAGATAAAGGCTTGTGCTGTCCTTAAATTATCTTTTTGTGTGCGTGAAAGGATGGTCTGTTTTGCAGGCAGAAAGCTTCTTTCCCTATCTTTCTCTATTTTTCCTACAGATAATGTCTTTTTATTCAAGTCATGTTTTATAGCAACTCCTAGAATATGCGAAATCAGGGAGCTGATTTCAGAGCTTGTGTCAAACTCTGGTTAGCCTGAAAAGCACAGGTAGTACATCTACCGTGCTACAGGTTGAGTATTCTTTGAGTTAAGCTGACTACAGTGAATCTTTCTGTCTGAAACTGTTTATATCTTCTATCATATAACTTAATGGGAGTGGGTAGACAGAAAGGTGATGGGTTGATGGTTGGACTGGATGATCTTAGTGGTCTTTTCCAGACTTAATGATTCTATGATTCCAAGATTAAAGTTAAGCATGCTATACTGTAGTATCAAAACACTATAAAAGATCCTGGTATTGTCACTCTGTGGTGTAATGCAAAGAAATCTGCTAGAGAATTCTGCATGAAAGCCTGTTTGTATTATAATGAGAATTGGACTGGCTTGTGGCATTGTTTGCAGCCTGTTGAAATTTTAATGCGACACTGGGAGTAGATGTGGAATGTACATATTTGTAAATTCACAGCAGAAAAATTCTTAACAGCTGTGGGAATAGCGCTGAAATGAATCAGTGGATTTCAGAATGATTTTAATTCAAAATCCTTCCTTTATTCAAAATGACATCTTATTTCTTTTTAGTGCATCCAGAGCAGGAGTGGCCTGTTGTGTCGTTCTGGCATGTGTAGGGTATCTGTGCTCTGATTTCTGCATAAGTCGCAAAGAAGAACCTTTTTCTTGGTGAGAATCCAATTTAAGAAAGGAAAGTGTGAGCTGATAAGAGTAAGGCTGTTACAAGGAGCAGTTACGTAGAGGAGGATCGTTGCTCAGCTGACCACACTGGGTCTGTTTGGGAAAAGAGAAGTACTAAGGAACGTATCCTGATCATGAAAACCCTTGATTTCTTACTGCTCATCATTGCTTTCCCTCAGAAAGCAGGGATTTGCATAATGTGTAGTTGTCAGCTAGATGTGAACGATAGGTGCAGGCAGATGACTTACTAACTCATCCAGATGGAAGCAAATGTGTCTTTTGTAAGTCAGATGGCATGGTGTGCTGTAAGCCAATTTTATGAAAAATGGTAAACTCCCACTCATAGAAACATTCCTCTCCTCTGGCACAAGCTGAAGCCCATTATAGAAATATGTTCCTCCAAATGTCCTGTTGGTCAAGAAGCTAATCAGCTTGTGGCTGGCCACGTCTGTGTGATGATCTGAGCGATATATGAAACTGTCACTGAGAAAATTAACTCCAAGTATTTTATGGTGGTGCAGAAGGCGAAGCTAGAGTGTAATTAACAGGGAATGAAGAGGAGACTACTTCTCAA